TCTCCGTCCACTGCTGTCCCCCAAGCCTGGGTCATCATAAGCGCCCACTGGTCTCCTGCAACCCTTTCAACACGGCCTTTCTGAGTCCAGCCGTGCACATGACCCCACCATCCAGTCAGAATGATCTAGTGGAAACACAGACACGATCACTCCCCATGAAAGCTTCCCATGACTGTTTGGGAAATGTACAAACTCCCAACAGAGTCTGTCCAGGCCCCACCTGCTGCCCCAGCGTCCCTTCTGACCTCCCTCCTATCTGAGCTGTTGCCATGATGACCTCTTCTCGACCATTAATACCCCATGGTCTCTCCCACCTCAAGTTCCTCCCAGGTCTGGAACATTCCCCTGCCCTGGCCTATCTAATCATTCAGAGTTTGACTTAATGGTCACTTCCTTGGGTAAGGCTCTTTGCTTGACTCCAGCAATAAATCCCTTTGCTATGTGATCTATGTAACATCTGAATTTCCCTTTGATAAAACCCATCATGATGTGTCTGTTTCCTCTGATGGACTGTATGGGCCAGAGGGCGGGGATCTGTGCCTGCCTTCCTCACCACTGTCTTCCCACCACTTAACACAGAACCTGCCACCCATCATCCCCCCGCCTGGCAAATTCCTACCCATCCTTCAAATCTCACTCACCTATCCCTTTCCAGGGGACAGACTTCTCTGAGCACCGAGACTTGGGGACACATTCCTTTATATAGCCCCACGGCCCCCTGATCCTCTCTTTTTTTTTTTTTTTATTCATTTTTTTCCCCCCAAAGCCCCAGTAGATAGTTCTATGTCATAGGTTCACATCCTTCTAGTGGCTGTACGTGGGACTCGGCCTCGCGCTGGACGGAGAAGTGGTGCCTCGGGGCACGCCCGGCATCCGAACCCGGGCCGCCAGCATCAGAGCGCGCGCACTTAACTGCCAAGCCACGGAGCCGGCCCCCTGATCCTCTCTTGCAGCACTTATCACAACTGTGAAAGTGACTGATCTTAATATCTGTCTCCCCTATTAGAGTTTCTATCTTGTTTCTCTTTGCCCCAGCACCTAAAACAATGCTCGTCACAAGACTCCCCTCAGGTCAGACCACAAGAATTCTTATGAAAATCCCTAAGATTGCATGCAAAATTCTATGTGCATGCACATTTTTCTGAAGAACCAGTCTGTGGCTTTTCTTGGAGTTTCAAAGGGGTCTAAGACCTGGAAGAGGTAAAGAACCCCTCCGCAGGAAGTGAAGGAGCCCTTTCCTTCAAAACAGCACTGCCAATCCTGACTTCTACTACGTAAAACCATCCCCACTGGAATGTAAGTTCCAAGGGGACAAGGATCTTTATCTACTTCGTTCACTGATGTATCCCAAATGCCTGGAATGGTGCCTGGTCCGTTCTATGTATAGGTGTAGAAATGACCAAACATGGCCTCAGACAATTCTGACAGTTGTGAGAATTGCACATGTATTGATTATCTATTGCTACGTAACAAATTACCCCCAAATGTCATGGCTTAAAACGACACTTATTATCTCAGTTTCTCTAAGTCAGGAGTCAGGGTGCAGCTTAGATGGGTCCTCTGCTTCAGGGTCTCTCACTGCAAAGTGTCGGCCAGGGCTGTGGTCATCTGAAGGCTCAGCTCGAGAAGGATCTGCTTTCAAGCTCACTACGTGGTTGTTGGCAGATTCAGTTCTTCATTGGCTGGAGGCTGCCCTCATTTCCTTACCACGTGGGCCTCTTTCTGGGCAGCTTGCAAGATGGAAGCTTGCTTCATCTGAGTAAGCAAGCAAAAGAGAGAGAGAGAGAGCTAACAAAATGGCCATTATAATCTCTTGTACCTTAACCTCAGAAGTGGTATCCCATCACCTTTGCTCTGTTCTGTTTGTTAGAAGCAAGTTTCTAGGTCTAGTGCACTCTCGAGGGAAGGGAATTACAGTCATGCATTGCATAATGATGGGGATGCGTTCCGAGAAATGTGTCATTAGGAGATTTCATCGTTGTGCAAACCTATATAGAGTGTACTTGCACAAACCTAGATGATATAGCCTACTACATCCCTAGGCTATATGGTACTAATCTTATAGGACCACCATCGTATATGTGGGCCATCATTGACTGAAACATCGTTATGCAGCGAATGACTATATCGAGGGGATGAATAGCAGCAGGCGAGATCATTGGGGGCCGTCTTAGAGGCTGCCTACACCAGGACATTTACATGTTTTCTCATACAGTGTCCAGCTCATCTGAACACCCAGAAGGCACAGAGCAAATGCCTACAGGTCAAGCAGATGACAAGAGGAGATATTAGTGGTGGGAGGTTTGGTGGACAGCTGAGCCCCTGCCCATCCTTCGGCAGACTGCTGCCAAGCAGGAATGGAGGCTGACTTGTCAGATCTTCTAAATTTTCAAAAGAAGCCCAAGTCCAGATTTTTATGAGACATTTCCTGACTGTTAAAACTGTGATAATCTAGGGCCGGCCCCATGGCTTAGCGGTTAAGTGAGCGCGCTCCGCTGCTGGCGGCCTGGGTTCAGATCCCGGGTGCGCACTGACGCACCGCTTCTCCGGCCATGCTGAGGCTGCGTCCCACATACAGCAACTAGAAGGACGTGCAGCTATGACGTACAACTATCTACTGGGGCTTTGGGGGAAAAATAAATAAATAAATAAAATTATAAAATCTAAAAAAAAAAAAAACTGTGATAATCTAGCAAAGACACATCTGAGGATTAGGAGTTTTTGACTCTTCTCTATGGCAGAAAGGGCCTAATCCATTCTAACACCCTTCGTGTATTTGTTCCATCTCTCCTATACCCACCCTCCTGCCCCGGCACTTATTCACTGAGGGCAGGGACCTAGCTAATTCACTTTGGACACTTTCTATAGCTCCTTGCACGTAGCAGGCCAATAATACATATTGTTGAGTGAAAGATGAAATTCCTGACATATATCTCCTTAGGGAGCATTCTCCCCCATTCCTAGAGGAGCGGTTCAAAGTGGGCTCTGGTGTCTGAGTAAATTGGACTCCTGGCTGTGCCACTTGCTTGCTGTGTGACCTTCAGCAAGTTACTAACTTTTCAGTCTCAGCTTCTTCATCTATGAAATGAAAATAATCGTACCTGCCTTAGAGCTGTTATTAGGATTAACTGAAATAACGTACTTATTAGCACACTGTAGAGGCTCAGTAGCTATTCTTACCAGCTCCCTGGCACGTCTCCCCTTAATCCATTATCTACCACCATGTACCACCATCCACCTGGCTAGCAGCTAGAGGTAGCCTCTAAAATGTAGATCTGTCATTTTCACCACCAGGGTTTACATCTTTTGACAGTTTGCTGAGGCCATTAGTAGGAAAAAATCCAAACTCCTTAACACAGCTCATCAGGCTCTTCTGCCCAGCCCTTAAGCCTCATCTCTCACCATGATCTCCTTCACGCTTAGCACTCCAGGCACACTGAAGCTTTGTTTCTTGAATGCTCCACACTACTCTGCCACTTCAGAGCCTTTGCAAGTACTGTTCTCTCCACTCCTACCATCCCTTCCAGATGGTCCAGCTACGTGCTATCAGAAGATTTTTGATATTCCTTACTAAACTCAAGGGCAGGTACAATATCTACTTTCCTCACCACTCCCCTCTTCCTGGAACAACGCCCACATAGAACAGGCAGAGAATACGCATTTGCAGGGCTGAGTCTGTGAGCAGACAGCGCCACCTGTTGACCCAAATTTGCACTTCAGTACCTAAAAAACAAGCCTTAGCTCTGCCCACCAACCAGGAAGGTAGATGGTTCTGAAGCTTCCTGAGGGCCTATCCGGTGTCTCTTCACACCAAACTTAGCAATAAAAAAAAAAAAAAAGCTAACATTATTGAGTACTTAACGTGAGAGAGCTAGGCACTTTCCTAAGGGCTTTAGCTATTAACACATTTAATTTTCACAACCACTCAATGAGGTAGGTACTTTTATTGCCAATTTATAGGTGGGGTAACTGATGCACAGGGCAGTGAAAACCTCACTCAAGATCAGACAGCTAGAAAATTTCACCCCAGGCGGACTGGCTTCAACCTGCACTTTTGAGCCCCAAACTCAATGCTTCTATTCTGTTTCCTTTACTCCACCCCAATGACCTGCTGAGTTTATCTCCCAGATACTTCCTTCCACCGTGAAGACCCATGTGAAGGGACTGCCATCCCAGCAGCAGTGATGTCAACCAAAATCCCACCTGGAGTGAGAGATCCATACATTCTGAAAGCTGCACAATTCAAGTGCACTCCTCAGGACAGTAATGAGATGTGGCCTCTCCCCAGCGAAATAGCAAATGCAGCAGTCAGCCCCAGCCTCCACGTGATTGCTCCCCTCATGTGCCCTCCACAGGCAACCGCCCCTCTGAGCCTCCATTTTCTACTAGGACCTTTAGCCCAGATAGGTAGGTCAGACTGGATGTCATATGAAGAGGAGCGCAGTCCCGATCCAGGCGAACCTGAACGGCAGTGGCCATCACTCAGTCCCCTCTCTGATCACTTACCAGGCAGGGTCACTCACATCACACAAGAAGCTGGGTCCCCTCACATGTTTCAGTCTTGCAATTTAGAACCAAGAGGTTGGCTACTTCCTTCTTACATCCCATCTACTTTTCACCCTCTCTTCTAAATCATTCCTTTATATCATTTGTGAAAATGCCTGCCTGCCTCCACTAAATTTTAAGTTGTTATTTAAACATATATATATATAATTAATACTCACTGAGCACTTCCTATGCCCCAGTCACTATTCTAAATGCTTTACACATATTAACTCACTTAATCCTCACAGGAGCCCTATAATTATCCCCATTCTACAGATGACAAAGCTAAAGCACAGTGCAGTGACACGTTCAGGGTCACACAGCAAGTAGCCACCTGGGGTGCTAACCTAAGCCATCACGCTAGTCTATACTTTTAAACGCTACATCAGACTCCCTCTGCTGGTAGAGGCTGTGTCTGCTGCCTTTACTCCCAAGCGCCAGGCACACGGCTTTGCACACAGTAGGTGTCAACAAACTTGCTTTAATATATATACACACACACATACACAGTCACATTCCAGTGTGACAAATACCCCTTCTTCGACCAGAAGAGAGCTCTACCATACTCCAGTCTCCTGCAGACTCTCCAGAGAGAGCCTAGGCCTGGCAGTCTTCAGAGATGACACCCAGTGTGGGCATTTTTATTAGACAAGTGGGAAGGGGCACGGTGCACCTTGGGGTGTATTCTGTCTGGGGCCTCACGCGGGCCCAGAGCTCTGCTGCACCCTCTTCATCAGCTCTTCATCCTGCATCGACAACTCTGTCAACTTTTTGCCCATCCGCTCATGGATGTCCAGGTACTTGGAGACACACCGGTCCAGGCACACAGACTCGCCCTTGGACAGTTCTGCTTCCTTGTAGTGGGGAGGAACGCACTTCCGGTGGCAGGCACTGGTCATTCTAGGGGGAAGGAAGGGCAAGGTCAGGTTAGCAGCATCCCGAGGCGCACCAGGAACTCTCCACCATTCCTGCCCTGCTGTACGGATTCCACCTCCCAAGAAGGTATTGTATATCCTCAATTTGCACCTCGACCATCTTGAAAGTTCCTTGAAAGGAGGAACCTTGTTTGAGCCCATGTTTATGACTAATTAAAGAAGAACCATTAGTTGAGTACTAGCTACGTTCCAGGCATCATGCTAAGAGCTGACATGGATTCTGTTATGCAATCCTTATAATAACCCTATGAGGCAGGCACGGCCATTACCCCCATTTGACAGATAAGGAACTGAAGGCACAGAGGGCCGCAGGTTCCCATACAGCCGGGAGCTGAACCCAGGTAGTGTGACCTCACAGCCTACATTTAAAAATTATTCCAATATATATCCTCCAAGATAAACCAACTAATCAAGAGAGGCTACCAGAGAGCTTAAGCCAATAAAAATAGCAAACCTTAGTTGACTGCTTGCTATGTGTTGGGCTTGATGCTAAGAGCTTGTCATACGTTTTTACATTTAATATTTATGATGTCCCTACGAGGTAGGTACTATTATCTCCATTTTATAGATGGGGAAACCACCGGTCAAACAGTCCAAGTAACTTGCCCAAGACCATACTGGGGGTGACTGGTGGAGCTACGATTTGTTCTCTCATTTGTCAAATGGTTACGGGACTAGTTTGGAGTCAGAGTGAGGTACTGGTCCTGACATTGCTACTGACCAGCTGTGGACCCTGAGAAAGTCATTGAAGCTCTAGAAGCCTCGATGCCCTCACCTTAAAATGGGACAAGGAAAATTAACCCAGTGGATTAGTTTGAAGATGAAAAAAGATAATGCGTGTAAAATGCTCAGCAAGCACCTGAGGTAGAGACCGGGTTTAAGAAACATGAACTACTAAGTGGGCTGCGGGCTCTTTGTCAACAGGTAAATGCTCAACTGTTCTTGAAGCTAACCAGAGCCTGGACTGGAGCTTCACTTCCCACTCGGCTCCTTTACCGCCAATTCCATCCCAATCTAAATGCTCAACTCGTTCTAGTGACCCCATACTGCGGCTGCATTAATCCTCAACCACGGAAAGTGGGGGTGAGTGGGTGCGGGCAGTGGTAAGCACGGGCCTAGATTGAGGAAAGCATTTTTCAGAAGTCATCCACCTCTGCCCTCTGAATGGGCGACCCAGGATCAATCTCTAAGACAAGGTAGCACAGAGTAGATTTTTACCTGTTGTACATATCAGCCATCATCTCTACCTCCAGCTCCGCCGCCAGCTGCTGGGCCCTGAGCGGATCCATCTCAGCCCTGCACCGTCGAGGAGATCTCCTTCTGGTCTCCTTGTCCTGGGAGCAGACATCACCGTCAGCATCCACCCCTCCCGTTCACTTTCCCATCCTAGAGGCTAGAGGATGCGGGGCAATCACAAGGCATCAAACCGGCAGGGGCCACTGACATCAGTGAGTTCAGCCACCCCATTTCGCAGATGTGGAAACTTAGGCCCGGAAAGGGAACACTGCCTAGCCCAAGGTCACACAGCACGTCAACGGCGGGGCTGAAAATCAAGCCCCGGAGCCCTGACGCCCAGTCCCTCGAGGTCACCTCTACCCAGGAGCAGATCGAAAGACCGGAACCGAACCCTCTAAACCGCTGGCCTGAACCTCTGGGGCGCTGGGAATCCGATCATACGCCAAGCTAACGCGCCCGGGCCCCGGCCCAGGGGCCTCACCCCTGAAAAGGCGGGGCCATCATCAAGGTCACCTTGATGGTCACTCACCACGGCCAGTGGCCGGTCACAATACTGTCGGTGTCCCCAACTTCGCCCAAACACTAGAAATTCACCGGGCGCCCCGGGAGACTAAAACGGAAGCACGTGGGTCACTTCCGGGAGGGAAGTCCCGCCTCTTTGATCCAGACTGGCTTCCGGAATGAAGGACCAAGGAGGCGGCGCTGGGAAATCGGCTACCATAGAGAGCGGCCGGCCGCGACTGAAGGCGAAGGCGCTTTGCAAATGCTAGAGGGGACGCCAAAACACCATAGAGGCTTGGGCGGGGCGCAGAGCGCCCGCACTCCCTGTTGTCAAGTCGGCTGGGTTGCCGCGGAAAGGTTTGAGTCTATTGGTTCTGTAGAAAGGGGCCGGATGACAGAGCTCAATGAACTTCGCCCTCACCTCTCCCTCACCTCCAGAGAGCTGACGCCTGAGCACAAATCAGGCGTGGAGAAGGAGGAACGCCCCCAAGCAGCAGTTCTCAGTTTGTGCTGCATATTAGGGTCACCTGGGACGCTGTAAAAAATCTCGATGCCCAGGCCTCACTTCATACCAGTTAATTCAGAATCTCTGGGAGTAGGACCCAGGTGATTCCTATGTGCAGCCAAGTTTAAGAACCAGTGCTCCAAGGGACTGTGTGAATACAGCTGTGTGTGGGTCACTAAGCTTTCTTTGGGGTTGCAAAGATAAGCAAGGCACAGTTCCTGCTTGCAGAAAGATGAGACGTGTATACAGTGTTTTATTCGACTTCTGTTAGACGCCCTGGGCCATAAAGAGATGAATAGAAGCAATTTTGGCTGCCATTAGAGCTAACCTAGTACATCTGGGTGAGAAAGAAAGAGGGTGCTTGTGAACTCTTCATCTTTCAAGACAATGTATCCCTCCATCTGCACTTCCCCCACAAGAAAAAAACCTGCTTCAACCCTTGATTTTTTCAAGAGATTTCCCAATAAACGAAATTTAGAAGATGCAGATTAATGATGCAAGGGTACACTGCCCATTGGAGAAGGTAGGCTGGACACTTTATGTGATTGGTCACCATACGCTTTCCTAATTGCCCAAGAAAGTCCGATTTTCATCACTGGGCCTCATTTCTGCTCTAAGGGCTCATCTATGTCAAAGTCTGTAACTTGACACTAAAATTGAGGTATAACATTCATACAGCAAAGTGAGTAAAATACATGAATCTTAAGCTTAATTTTTAAAGGTATATTCATTCTTAAAACCACCACTCAGATCAAGATGCAAAATACTTCTAGAACTCTAAAAAGTTATCTGAGGTTCCTTCCCAGTCAACACCCCCTCTCCTGCAGTTAACAGCTATTCTGACTTCTATCATCTTCAATTAGGTTTGCCTACACTTGAACTTCATGTGAATGGAATTATACATGATTTTCTGTTTCGTGCCTGACTTTAACTCGATGCAGTCTGTAAGATTTCATTCATATTGTTATGCATATCTGTTATTCATTCTTTCTTATTGCTGTCTAGTGTTTGATTGTATGAATAAGCCACAATTCATTTATCCATTCTCCTGTTGATGGACTTTTGGGTTGTTTCCAGTTTGGGGCTATTATGATAATGCTGCTTTCAATATTATCGTACATATGTTTTAATGGACATATGTTGCCCTGGTTTTTGCTTTTGAGAATATAGTCAACATATTATGGAATATTAAGAAATTGCATGGAAAAAGGAGACGAGTTCTTACAAGAGGAATGAAAGGTTATGAAAGGTGTTATGAAAGATTACGTACTGTATATCCACTTAAATAACATTCTCAAATGACAAAATTGTAGAGATGGAGAAGAGATTAGTGGTTGCCCGGGGTTAGAGTTAGTGAGGGGAGGAGGGAGGTGTGCCTTTAAAGGGGTAGCCCAGAGGAGATCTTTGTGGTGATGGTGGAGGTGTTCATACGAATCTATGCATGTGATAAAATGTCATAGAACTATACACACCATTCTACCAATGTCAATTTCCTGGCTTTGATAGTGCATATAGTTATGTAAGATTTAACCTTCAGTGGATAAATCTTAAGTAAGATTTAACCTTCAATACCTTCTCTGTGCTATTTATGCAACTTCCTGTAAACCTATAATTATTTCAAAATAAAAAGCTTAACAAATCATTACAAAAAAGATAATGTACTTAAAGCACCCAGTCCATGGCAGACGCTCAATACAAATCATTGTTCTTTTTTTTTTTATTTTTAGACTTTTATTAGGGCTAACTTAAAACATACAGAAAAGAGGAGAGAACAGTATGTGGAACTTACACATACCCATCATCAGGATTTAACAATTGTTAATATTTAGCCATATTTTCCTCATCTATTTTTATTTCTAACAGATAAAGTCTTTTTTCCACAATGCCATTTTCAAAATTATGGTAATTTATTAATATAATCTAATGCATATATTCAATTTCTCCCAATTTCTCAAAACTGTCTCTTTTTTAATGTGGCAAGAACACTTAACATGAGATCTACCATCTTAACAAACTTTTAAGTGCACAATACAATGTTGTTAACCGTAGGCACAATGTTGTACAGCAGATCTCAAGAACTTATTCGTCTTGACTAACTGAACCTTTACAGTCATTGAACAGCAACTCCATGTTTTCCCCTCCCCTCACCACCTGGGAAATCATTGTTCTTACTGATGATGATGTTATTGTTAACATCTACTATGAGACTGTATCTTTTCCTTTCTATATTTATACAGTTGGAGATTTGAGGACCTTTTAAGTAGGAGTCTCCAATTGTCCCTGTTAAGTTTCTTCTTGTAAAAGACAGTTTATACAGCCCCAGCCTTCCAAGATCTCTTTGGAATCCAGATACATCATCCAAAACTGCTGACCTCTGTCAGGACCATGCTGAAGCTCTGGTCCCTCATTCTATGCTGTGTTCTCCCCATTCCCAGCCTCCCAACCTCCCAGAGGGGGATTGTGTATTTGTTACTCACCATGAGTCAGTCTTATCCTCTTGGGTGAGACCATAGCCCCAGAGGAAGGGATGGAGCGTTGTCACCTAGGATCTCATATGGGCCCTGACCACTCATGAGAGACAGCCTAGGTGGACTTCCCTGAGATGAGCAGGAGATGAGAGAATAAGAACACCATTGGCTGGAACAGAATGGTTATTCTATTAGCTAGAAAAGAAGGCTGGCACGGTCTTAATCACTGTCATCCACTATTACCATTCGCATCTCTTCTCCTCACCTGCCTTGCTGATGCTGTGGTCCAAGCCACCACCATCTTGCTGGGTTACTGCAGTAGTCTCCTGACTGGTTTCTCCACCTCAGTTCATGCCGGGCCATGACAAAAAAATACGAGGTGAGGCTGGAACAGGGACATAGGGGTGGGGCAGGGGACCTTTCCCCAGGGCAGTAGTGCTGGGGAGGGTCTGAGTAGTACAAAGCCCAGAGGGAAGGAGACTCAGAGGGGCAAAGTCCAGGCCCCCTGGCCTGAGGCTCACCAAGGCCTGCTCTGGGCCCCACTTGCCCACAGCACGTGGACATCCAGAACTTCTCCTCAAGCTGGAGCAGTGGCATGGCCTTCTGCACCCTCATCCACAAATTCTTCCCCAGTGCCTTTGACTACTCTGTGCTGGACCCCACGTAGCGCCGGCACAACTTCACCCGGGCCTTCTCCACAGCAGAGTAAGCCAGAGCCATGGATGGCAGAGCTGGCTGGGAGCTCGGGGGCCCTCTAAGGAGAGTGCTGGATTCAAAGGGGTCAGATAGTGGGGTGGTCAGATAGAACAGCAGGCCAGAGAGATGTGTGGAAAAGCTCACCAATGTTGGGCAGATAAACTGTAGATGGGTGAAGGAGACATCTGGTAACCATCAATATCGGACTGTTCAACCATTGGTACCCAGACCTGGCTTTCAGATCATCCCAGGCATAGGCCCCAAGTTCCTATTCCATATTTCTATTAGCTATTTTATTTATTCAATATATATTTATTGAGCACCTCATATGAACCAGGTGATTGGCTAGGCCCTGAGCACATAGCCATGAGCATGGTAGCTAAAATTCCTATTCTCATGGAGCTTAGAGTCTAGTGAGAGAGTCAGATACTAAGGAAATGAATAAGGGAATTTTGGATTCCAATAAATATTATGAAGAAAATAAAACAGGCTGAAATAATGGAGAGGAACTGAAGGTCATGGAGACCTCTCTGAGGAAATGAAATTTGAGCCGAGACTAGAAGAATGAGAAGAAACCCATCTCACAATAAGCAGAAGCAAAAAGGTTACAGTCCTGAGTATGGAAAGGAATCAATTTATTTAAGGAGCAGGAAGGAGGCCAGTATGGCTCAAGTGGTGGGGACCTGGGAAGGCAGTTGGAGGAGTCACAAGCTTTGTCAGTGGTAGGGGTGTCCCCTGCACACATTCTCCAAAAGTAGTACCTTTTTCAGATCACAGGGCATATAGAGAAGGCAAAGATTTATTCTGTTTTTTCAGAGCTAAATCTCAATTCAGTATAAAAATTTGTTCAGAGCCTACTGTGTACCAGTCACTTCAGTTCAAAATAGAACTCAGGTTTGTATTTTCTAGAACTCTAAGCCCAGCGACCCATCAACTTGAGCCATGGCTCTTCTCTTTGCCCCTCCCCGCTCCAAATCTCTCTCCAGTGTGATCCCTGAGACACATCCCCCAAGTCTGCAGCTGTCCCATTCACCCCCTCCTTAGCCCACCCTTCAACAGCTGCTTTTGTCTGAGGAAGAGCAAAAGGGACTATTTAAAGGAGTATGGGGGAATTGGGGGATGAAGGAAGCAGAGGAGGCCTGGCCTGGGCTCTGGAAGGGCAGGGGAGGCCAGAGTGCTGGTGACCATGCTCCAAAGGGGCCTGCAGATGGTTTCCAGGGTTGCCAGGGCCAGGCGAGTACATTGGGAAGAAAGATGACCGTAGGACGGATGCTGCCAGGGTCGGGGAGGGAGGGACGTGCTGTGATTGAAAGGTGCCACCTGTCAGATCTTTATGGGAAATCTGAGCCTCGAGGGCCAGGGGAAAGTGTTGTACCAACAGGGTAGTAAACAATGCTCTTTGGTGGCCTAAGGCTCTTGAAGTGGGGGTGGGGTGGGGTGGGAGGGGGAGGAAGGTGGAAGAGGGGCGGGGAAGGAAGAGCTGGGGGCTAGAGGCTGCCCGGCTTAAAGGCAGCCTGGGAGTGAGGCCGCTCAGCTAGAGGAAGGAAACAGCTCCCAAGCCCCCAGGCAGAGGCCCCACAGGTAGGAAATACCCTGGGCCCCTTTCCCAGCTCCCCCTTCCATCTGCCAACCCCTTTCCCACCTTCCAAGGGCCGGAGACTCCAAGCAGAGCCCCGCGCTTGGGTTGGAAAAATCCAGGCTCCTTTCTAATTCTCTCCACCACTATGTCAACCTCTTTAGATGTCAGAGGTCAGGGGTTCAGCCCTGGGGTGTTGGGCAACTTGAGATCACCTGCAGAGTAGCCTGCAGGTGGCAGTCCATGAGGAGGACCTGACACGGGTAGAGAGGGCCCTGCGAATCTCACCAGTCCAGGTGGGTTGGGAGGCAGACTCTCTAAGCAGTTGAGAGTTGCCTCTCCAAGAAGGGTCCCCGGCTGGGGTGGGGGATGGTGAAGCTTCAGGACCACCAGAAGACAGACTGGGTAGCAGTGGGTCGCGGAGGTATCAGTAGAACCATGAAGTGTCGTCTGTACTATGTGGGGCTTGGAACTGAGGCTCCTGGGTTCTCTTCCTCCGGGTCCGCCAAGGGAAACAGGAAGAGGGAGAGGGGAGCTGCCTGCAGTGCTGGTTGGGACACAAAGCAGGATGGTTGAAGGCCTCCTGGGGGTACAAGGAGGAAGGAGAGGGCCTACTCTTCACTTAGAAAGGAAAGAGCTGAACTGCCCAGCCATATCTGACAGCCCTCTCCCACCAGTGTGGTGCTCTTCACCCTGGGCTGGAGACTTTGAAGGGACACTGGCTGAGAAGCTTGTGGGAGCAGCATCTTCAGCACAAGCTCTGGATGGGTTATCAGGAGACCTGAGTTCTAAGTGTGGTTTGGCCATTTAATTGTCCTATGACTTTTCTTTTTTCTTTTCTTTTTTTTTTTTTGTGAGGAAGATCAGCCCTGAGCTAACATCCATGCCAATCCTCCTCTTTTTGCTGAGGGAGACTGGCCCTGAGCTAATATCTATTGCCAATCCTCCTCCTTTTTTTCCCCTTTTTCTCCCCAAAGCCCCAGTAGATAGTTGTATGTTATAGGTGCACATCCTGCTAGTTGCTGTATGTGGGACATTGCCTCAGCATGGCCTGACAAGCGGTGCGTCAGTGCGCACCTGGGAACCGAACCCAGGCCACCAGTAGCAGAGCGCGCACACTTAACCGCTAAGCCATGGAACCGGCCCCTGTCCTTTGACTTTAGTCAAGGGACTTCGACTCCCCAAGCCTCCAATTCTTAATCTGTAAAATGGGGCCAATAACACCTTTCCGGAGGCTTAGAGTGAGGAAGTAGTGAGATAAAGCAGGGCACTGCAGTGTAAGCTGTAAACTGCTATCAGAATTCTTAACTCTGGGGTGGGCAGTGTTATCTGGTTTCTCTACATTCTGAGTTTCTTCACTCCTTGTCTATTTGTGACAAGACTGGAAGGTGGAAAGCTGAGGTGATGAACACGCAGAATGGCCGAGGTGTGTGTGTGTGTGCGTGCACGCGTGTATACACCTGCCCTTCCCCTCCACCCCACTAAGTGTGTAGTACATCGACAAAGGGAAAGATATTTGCAGCACTCAGCTATGTCTTAGCCAGTTACTACACTTTGAGGTATAAAAAGGGCTTGTTATCATCATACTGGCGTTCTGCGTTCTCATTGCCTTTCCTTACCAACTAAATGCCCTCGTGGCTGGGTCAGGACCTTAATCTGGCACAAGACTGGGCAGAGGCCAATCTACACCATATGAGCTGATGTGTACGGAGTGCTTCCTCCATGCTGGGCACGCCTCACAATACTTTCTATGCGCTGGCTTCTGTAACTCTCCACCATCCTTATTTCTATTTCCAGAAATCAAAACACAGGGAGGGCAGGTAGCTTGCTCAAGGTCACACAATTTTAGTAAACAGTGGGAGCTGGGATCCCACCGTAGGAAGACTCCAGAATGAGTGATTCTCACCACTACTCCATACCACCTTCCAAACAAGAGCACAGGCAGGAAGGGGTTGTATGGATCACTTATTTTTTTTTTTTAATTTTATTTATTTATTTATTTTTTCCCCCAAAGCCCCAGTAGATAGTTGTATGTCATAGCTGCACATCCCTTTAGTTGCTGTATGTGGGACGCGGCCCCAGCATGGCTGGAGAAGCGGTGCGTTGGTGCGCGCCGGGGATCCAAACCCAGGTCGCCAGCTGCGGAGCACGCGCACCTAACCGCTAAGCCACGGGGCCGGCCCTCTATGGATCATTTAGATCAGCATTTGCCATACTTTCTTCTGCTAAACATGGCATGGCTCAAGAGGGCAGTACATGGGCTGGCCCCCTGGCTTAGCAGTTAAGTGCGCGCACTCCGCTACCGGCGGCCCGGTTAGGATCCCAGGCGCGTACCGCCGCACCGCTTCTCCGGCCATGCTGAGGCCGTGCGTCCCACGTCCAGCAACTAGAAGGATGTGCAACTATGACATACAACTATCTACTGGAGCTTTGGGGGGAAAAGAAAAAGGAGGAGGATTGGCAATAGATGTTAGCTCAGGGCTGATCTTCCTCACAAAAATAAATAAATAAATAAATAAATAAATAAATAAATAAATAAATAAATAAAACTGTAAAAAAAAAAAGAGGGCAGTACATGCTCCTCAGGAAGAACAAAGCAAAAAGAAACGAAAGCAAAGGGAAAAACAATCCATGGTCAGATAGGTTTGGGGAAGAGTGAGTTAAATAAAGCTAAGCAAAGTTAAGGTTTCCTTATTATGGGGTATCTGGAATCTATTTAAGTGCTAATGAAGTTGTATATCTCTGGAAGTTGTATATCTGTATATATATCTGAAGTTGTACATCTCTGTTTTTGGAACAGCTGTAGCCAGAGAATACACTCTCCCCTAGCCCCTATTAATGTTTAAGGAGACCCTAGTTTTCTATAGAACAGAGTTTGGAAAACCTGATCTAGACCAATCCTGTCATTGTCAGTGGACACTGAGACCAAGAGAGGAAGGGGCTTGCTCAGGTCTCAGAGTGAGTGACTAGGAGATGGGGTCAAGTCCAGCTCCACGGCCTCCTGGCTCCCTGCTGATTGCATTCCATCTCTCAGGCTCATTTGTTCCCCTCTGACTTTAATATCTGCTGGAGCTGCTGAACCATGAGGGGCTCTGGTGGGAAGGGTGAAATTGGAGGACAGTGTGAGCATCTTTGCAAATCCCAGCCTGCTTCCAGGAAATTGGTACGGGGTGAGGGGGAGCACCAAATCCAGGGACCCCAGGGCTCTGGTCTGGGGGCAGTAAAACCTGAGTGGGAGGCAGGAACAGAGTCCTGTCCCTCATCTGCTTGCCTTCCTGCCTCTGTCCCAAATACTCAGGTGCCCTGGGTACTGTCACCCAGAAGGATGGCACTGCAGAGGGCAGGAGGTATTTTTAGACAGTGACAGGAGTGTCTACTACTTTTACTGCCTGAGTCATGCCCTGAACCCTATTTGGGGATTGTTTTCTTTGTAAACAGACCCCCAAGAATGGCAGGGGGATGAAGGAGCTGGCCCTGTCCCCCCACCCACCTGTTTTTGTAGATCCTACAGTACATACAGTACTGGACTAGGAAACTCCAAATTAAGGTGTCATAATCTCCCTCTCCCCCACAACCCCCAGCAGTTGGAGAGTCAGATTTCCCTACAGAGATTAGGGAGAGTACGTTTCCATTTCTCACCAAAGGAAACTCTTCCATGCCGAGGCCCACCTTTTCTGAGAACCACAGGCTGGCAGAGTGGGCAGAGACGCAGAGATCAGCTGGCCCAGGGTCTCCCAAATTTCAGGCATTTTTACACCACCTCTGTAATTTAGCTACATCTGTACCGCCTGTATTCTGCTTTCCTGAATGTTTTCCTTTGAATTAACTTACTTTAAAATTCAATAAATATATTTTTAAAAGAAACTTTAGAGGCCGGCCCTGTGGCAGAGTGGTTCAAGATCCTCGTGCTCCACTGTGGCAGTCCAGGTTCACAGGTTCAGATCCCGGGCGCAGACCTGTACCACTCATCAAGCCATGCTGTGGTGGCGACCCACATACAAAATAGAGGAAGACTGGCACAGATGTTAGCTCAGGGCTAATCTTCCTCAAGCAAAAAAAGAGGACGAGGGGCCGGCCGGCCCGGTGGCATAGCAGTTAAGTGCGCGTGCTCCGCTTTGGCAGCCGGGGTTCTCAGGTTCAGATCCCTGGTGCACACCAATGCACCACTTGTCAAGCCATGCTGTGGTGGCATCCCATATAAAGTAGAGGAAGATGGGCATAGATGTTAGCCCAGGGCCAATCTTCCTCAGCAAAAAGGGGAGGATTGGCAACAGATGTTAGCTCAGAGCTACTCTTTCCCAAAAGAAAAAGAAAAAAAAAGAGGCAGATTGGCAATGGATATTAGCTTAGGGTGAATCTTCCTCAACAGAAAAAAAAAAAAAGAAAAAGAAACTCTACATCATTACCGGAAATGGAAACTCAATATCACTGGCCAGAAATAGAAAGTAACTGTAAAAATAAATACAATGGAAACAAAACAGTGTTATTAAATTCTATCTGGATACTCCTGCCTGCTCTGGGCTCTGAGCCCGAGGCTAGCTCAGTCCATTAAAAGGGGAGACGAGTAACTGCTCCACAGGTATTCCAGGATGTGAGGATCAAATTGAACCGCCTCATTGGCTTAATCAAAAAGAGGCAAAATCATTGAAAAGGCATTATGTGACCTAAAGTTCTTTAAAGCCCAAGCCACAGCCTGCAGAGGGCCATTGGGCGAACACCATCTAACATCAGGTCACTGTGGCTGGACACCCCCACTTTGGGGAAGCAGCACTCTTTCCCTTCGTTTCACCACATGGAAAATGGATGCTCATGTCACATGTCCAAGTAGTGGGGGACTCAGGACTGAACCGCAGGCCCCCAGATTCCTGGGGCCAGCGCTCTTGGAGGGCGGGGCCTTCACTTCGTGCACAGATGGGGCATGAAGGGTTGCTTCTTTTTTCTTTCCAGAGATGGAGCAGAAGGAAAGGAAGCCCTCTGAGGATGGGACCACTGTCTTGCCAACGGCAGAGGCCCCGGGGACGCTGGGAGGTGGAGCCTCTGCAAAGGAGGAGGCCAAAGGCACAGCTGAGAAGACGGCCAAAGAGGGAACCCCAGATGGGGCAGGAAAGCCGGAAGGAGCACCAGCTGAGGACGGCAGTTCTGCTGAATTTGAGGGGGAGGCAAATGGGTTGGGTGAGGGCGAGGTGGAATCCAAAGTGGGGGCTGAACTTCAAAAGGAAGACCGTGGGAAGGAAGAGGCCACAGCGACTCCTCAGGGGATGACTGACAGGAAAGAAGAGACCAAATCTGAACCTAAGGAGGCTGAGGGAAAAGAGGAGACCACCCCAGCCTCTGAGAAGCAGAAGGCTGACGAGAAAGAGGCCAAGCCCGAATCAAGGGCGAAAGCCGAGGTGAATGACGAGGCTGCTGGGGAGCAAGAGCCCAAGGCTGGAGCTAGGGAGGCTGACGGGAAGGAGGCCACGACGGCCTCTCGGGAGGAGAGTGACAAGACGGAGGAGCCCAAGGCTGAAGCCCAGGAGAAAGCCCATGCCCCAGAGGCCAGGGCGCACTCTCAGAAGAAGCCTGCTGCGGAAGATGAGGCCAAGGCTGGACCACAGGAGGCTGACGAGGAGCAGGTGGTGAGTGAGGAAGAGGAGAGGAGGGAGGAGGCCCCCACAATGTTCTGGAGTCCCCTGTCCCCCAGGAAGCAAGCCCCCCCCGCTTTATTCCCTTGGGAAAGTCTAGTCTTTTTCCCACTGATATCAAGAACCTGTGGTGGGGGGTGTGGCACTGTGGCCCCAGGCTGCCTTCTAGATCTTTCTGAGGGCCTCACAAAGCCTTGGGCAGGTGCTTGTGTGGCTGAGCCCACACAGATCATGTTCATTCCAGGAGCCAGGCAGTCCCAATGAAGAGCAGGAAGAGGGTGAGGAGAGACAGTCGGAGGAAGGAGCAGGGGTGATGCCCAGCTCCCCCGAGGAGTGGCCTGAGAGCCCCACGGAGGAGGGCCACAGCCCCAGCCCAGGTGAGTGAGAGCCCAGGAGCCCAGGGGTGCTGCAGGGGCTACCTGAGGGGGCGTGCAGGGAGTGCATCATGAGTAGCCCCACCTTCCCTCCCTCCTGTTCCTTTCCTCCAGATGAGTTGGGTCAAGACACCACAGCCTCTGGAGAGACCAGTCCTTCAGCCAGGTAGTGTCAAACTCTGGGCCCAGCTCTGACTCCTCCTATCACCCGTTCCCTTCAAAGTCTGCCATCACCTGAATCGGGGCCTCCCCAGCACCCAATCTCAAGATATTCCAGGATTCCTGGCATTCAGCCTCCCATCCCAGGGCAGAGCCCAGGAAACCAAAGGAGCCAGATCATGGGAGCAAAGGGAGCATGGGGCATCCTTGGTCCACCTCCCACCCCACTGCTGAAGCCTTGTCTTCAGCATCCCCAACAGCTTCTCAGAGGGGCTCCTCATCTTGCTGCTCAGCCTGTTTCCATGGTGTCAGCATCATCCAACCACAGGAGCATGAGCAGAAAGCCTGAGTTTGGACAATGACTCTGCCTCTTACCAGCTGTGTGACCTTGGCCTCGTCCCTTCACCTCTCATCTGTGAAGTGGGCACAGTAATTGTACCTACCTCACAGGAAAATTGTGAGGCTGAAATGATGTAATGCATGTAAAATACTTAGCACAGTGCCTGGTGCCTGGAGGATGCTGGATAAAATGAGCCTTATTCTTGCCATTGCACAACTTTAGTCATTAGAAGAATCTTCCTTTACTTTGACCTGAAATTCACCTCTGTGTCACTTTCTTTCTTTCTTTCTTTTTTGTGAGGAAGATTAGCCCTGAGCTAACATCCATGCTAATCCTCCTCTTTTTGCTGAGGAAGACTGGCTCTGAGCTAACATCTATTGCCAATCCTCCTCCTTTTTTTTCCCCCAAAGCCCCAGTAGATAGTTGTATGTCATAATTGCACATCCTTCTAGTTGCTGTACGTGGGACACGGCCTCAGCATGGCCGGAGAAGCCATGCGTTGGTGCGCGCCCGGGATCCAAACCTGGGCCGCCAGCAGTGGAGTGCACGCACTTAACCGTTAAGCCACGGGGCCGGCCCATCTGTGTCACTTTCTTAAGGAAAGATAACCAGTAAATACTCACGGAGCACCCAAGCAGTGATGTGGCAGCACAGCTGGGTGCTCTCCATTCCCCTTCTTACTCAAGCCTTAGAACCACCTTGCCAGGCAGGTATCCCAGTCCCCATTTCATAGATGAGGAAGCAGAGGCTCAGAGAAGTGACATGACAGTGCCAAGATCACACAGCAAATAAGAGGCAAAGCCAGGATTCAAACTCAGGTCAGACCTAAGACTTGTCCTCATTCTGCCCACACATCTCCCCAGACCACATGCTCCCCAAAGTTAGACTGAGCCTCGTTATTCCTTCTCAACCCCCTCCCAGTGCTGGGCATGGAGGAAATGTGTGCTGAGAGTGGGGGCTACAACTTCATATGCCTCTTTAGACTGCAGGGACCTCCCCCCGTCAGCCAGCCTGCCCTCCTGCCTGTACCATGTAGTGACTGGTCCCAGCCCCTCTCACACGTCTTTGAACCTTCCCATGTAGTGAGTCTTCACCCAGTGATGTGCCCCAGAGTCCCACGGAGCCCCCTCCCTCACAGGAGAAGAAGAAGGAGAAGGCACCAGAGCGCAGGGTGTCAGCCCCTATCCGGCCCCGGGGGCCCCGTGCACAGAACCGCAAAGCCATCGTGGAGAAGTTTGGAGGGTAAGAGGCAAGCGAGGAGCTGGCTGGGCTGGGCTTTCCCCGGGAACCACCGGTTGGTCTGGCAGGGAGGCCTGAGGGGCGATGGGGACAGCCCAGGGCGAGGTGGGAGGAGTGACATCTGGGGCTGGGGCTCCTTCCTGATGGAGCCCTCCATGGCCTCGCACCTCTCTGGCCTGGCCTTCTCCATCCCCCCCTCACAGGGCAGCCTCAGGCCCCACTGCCCTGTTCCGAAACACTACGGCAGCTGGGGCAGCCATCGGCGGTGTTAAGAACATGCTCCTGGAGTGGTGCCGGGCCATGACAAAAAAATATGAAGTGAGCATGGAACAGGGACACATGGGTGGGGCAGGGGACCCTTCCCCAGGGTGGGGGTGCTGGGGAGGGTCTGAGTGGTACAAAGCCCAGAGGAGAGGAGGCTCAGAGGGGCAGAGTCCAGGCCCCCTGGCCTGAGGCTCACCAGGGCCTGCTCTGGGCCCCGCTCGCCTGCAGCACGTGGACATCCAGAACTTCTCCTCAAGCTGGAGCAGTGGCATGGCCTTCTGCGCCCTCATCCACAAGTTCTTCCCCGATGCCTTTGACTACTCTGAGCTGGATCCCACGCAGCGCCGGCACAACTTCACCCTGGCCTTCTCCACGGCAGAGTAAGCCAGAGCCATGGATGGTAGAGGTGGGTGGGAGCCCGGGGGCCCCTAAGGAGAGTGCTGGATTCACAGGGGCCAGGTAGTGGGGTGGTCAGATAGAGGCTGAGGCCACACATTCATGTATCCACCAGACATTTTTTGACGGCAAGAACCGTTTCAGGACACAGCAGTGGATGAAACCAGCAAAATCCCTGCTTGCCCGTGGCTTACATTCTTTTTTTCTGTGTGAGGAAGATCAGCTCTGAGCTAACATCCATGCCAATCCTCCTCTTTTTCCTGAGGAAGACCGGCCCTGAGCTAACATCTATTGCCAATCCTCCTCCTTTTTTTTTTTTCCCCCTTTTTCTCCCCAAAGCCCCAGTAGATAGTTCTATATCATAGTTGCACATTCTTCTAGTTGCTGTATGTGGGACGCAGCCTCAGCATGGCTGGACAAGTGGTGTGTCCATGTGCGCCTAGGATCCGAGCCCGGGCCACCAGTAGCAGAGCGCGTGCACTTAACTGCTACCGTGGCTTACATTCTAAACGGAGACACAGATCATAAACACACACACGCATATGAAGTATAATGCCAGGCAGATAGGGGCCATAAAGGAAATGCAGGCAGGGTAAGGGGTAGAGGAGAGGCAGGCCTGCTGTCTCAGACGGGGTGCTGCCTCAGATGTGGGGTCAGATTCTGACTCTGTCATTTGTTCGCTGTGTGATCTTGGACAGGCTCCTTTATCTCTCTGGGTCTCCATATTCTGATCTTTAAAATGGGCATGACGTTTCCTCTTTTGCAGGGCTAGTGTGAGAATTAAGTAATTAAGTAAAGTCCCTATAACAGTGCCTAACCCACCACAAACACTTCAAAACAATCTTAGCTGCTGTCCCTGTATTATAGTGATGATATCACAGTTATGATGATAATTATTGTTCACTTTGGAACCTGGAGGGGGATTTATTGATGAGGCTCATGTAGCTGGGTGTCAGGGGTGGTGGTAGGATGGAGAAAGGGGTGGTACCAGAAAGGCAGGAGGGGTGTGAGGAACAGTGTGGCCCAAGAACCTGAAAGGCAAAGATGTGGCTGCTGCCAGGTGGAGGGGGAGGGGGAGGCGCTCCCACCACCCAAGGGTCAAAGCCAGCCTCGGCCAGAGGCCCCATGTCTACCCACCTGTGAGGCCTGAATGCCCCTTGATGGCCTTGGCTCCCAAGGAGCTCATGCCGGGAGGCCCCCCCCCCCGCCCCCCGTTCTCTCCAGTCCCAGAGAGAGGCTCCTGAGCCACTGAGAGAGACAGGACTCTGCAGACGGTGCGGCCAATGAGGCTCCGGGAATGGAGAGCTGAGGGCGTTTCTAAAACCCTGGGACAGGGAACAAGTCACTGGGGATGTTAGCAGCACCTTGGTCTCGGGGGCTGAGCCCTCTGGTCTAGTCTAGGTCTGGCCACCAACCTGCAGGAAGCCTGGGGCAGCAATCTCCCCATCTCTGGGCCTGCGTGGCCTCAATGGCAAAATGAGAGGATTGAAATTGATCTATGCTTTTCAAATGGGTTCTTTTTTTCTAGCAGATTCCTCAAACAAAATATTAAGTGAATGCCCAACATATAAAACAGATTAAAGGGGGATCTTTTTCGATTGGGAGGGGTTCCTGGAGCATCCCAGCTCTGCACCCAACCCCCCTTTCCAAGATGGTCCCTGAAGCATCTCTGTAGGGCCCTAGGGCACCAAGGATGCCATTTGAAAACCACCAGACTTGATGTTCCAGAAGATCCCTTCCAGTTTCGCATTATCCTGCCAAGGGATGGGGTGAGCGCCCTGGAGTGGGGGCCTAAGAAGGTTGGGGGCACCACGTCCTGCCCTGGGCTCAGAGACACCTTTCATGATGAAGATAAGCCACGTGAATCGAGAGCGACTAGGTGCCAGGCGTTCTGCTAAGTGCTTTCCTTGAATCATCTCATTCAATGCTCACAAAAATCCTAGAGTGTAGACACAAGCAGAAAGGTTACACGGTGTCCTGGGTCACACAGGAGGGCTGTGAAAGAACCGGAATTTGAAAGTGAGACTCCCAGTCGGGACTGAGAGCTCCAAGTAAACCTCAGAAGGGCATGGGGCTCGGCCCTGACAAAATGCCCCTGGCCTGTGGGGCATTTTGGTCATTGTCCCCCTCCTGCAGCTGCCTTGCCTTGGTTCCAACCAGGCAGGGCCACAAGAAAGCGGAAGGAATAATCAGGTGACGACGATGGGCTGACAGGAGGCATCAGGCAGCGAGAAGGGAAGGATGCGGTGGGGATGCGTGGAGATGGAGGGTGCAGAAGAGAGTCGAGGTGCTGAGTCTGAATCTTGCCTCCTTCTTCGCTCTGTGTCCCTCGGCAGCTGACTTAACCTCTCTTAGGGTTTGATGTGAAGATTAAGTGTGCAAAGTAAGGGGGCCCCTGCCACGGCCGTCACACCCCACTGCCTCTGTTCCAGAACTCGCCTCTGATTCCCATGGAGTCCTGGGATGAGAGGGGAGAACAGCCAGTGCTGGAGCCTCCAGTGGGCTCGATGATCAGCTGTGCTGCTGGAGGAGCCCAGCCCCGCTCCCCAGGCTCCATGGGAATGAAGCTGTTGCCTCTCTTGCGTGGGGGACAGCCCCCGGCCTGCACCCAGGAGCCGAGATCACCGCATTGGATTCTTCGAAATCCTCCAGTCTGTGCTCCTCCCCCAGCTCCCCGGTCAGTCCGCTTTGGGTTTCAGCCCAGCTGTCTCAGCCCCAAGAGAGGATTTCCCCTGGGACCCTAGTTTCTCCTTCTGCCAGCACCTATGCAGTCTGGTGGGCTCGGACCACTGAGATCCAGCTTCAGGGCAAGGAGGCCAGAGGCATCAGCAGGCCTGGGGTTGAGTCCCAGCTGCATCACTCACTTTGACCTTGAGCAAATCACCCAAATGCTCTGAGTCTCCAGTTCCTCTTCTGCTGGTTGAGGATGGAGAGGGGAAGTAAATGAGACCATTCAAGGGGAAGCATTGATTAAAGCACGTGGCGCATGGTTACAAGGTCCCAACAGCGCTTAGCTCAGATGACCAGCCTCAGCAAAGCCAGGAGTAGCATGTGGCCCCAGAGAGCAGCCAGAAGTTAGAAAAAGAGGACTTGCTGCTAAGTTCCATGCAGTTCCTCAAACACATCAAGCACTCCTGCCTCAGGGCCTTTGCACATGCTGTCTCCTCTGCCTGAAACCCTCTTCCTCCAGATATGCACATGATTAACACTGAGACCTTCCCTGAGCCCCCTATTAAGAGTACCCCGTTTCTAATACAGGAACATACCCTGTCTCCCTCCCTACCTTGTTTTTCTCCATAGCACCTCTCACCACCTGATGTTCTATTTACTTCGTGCATTTGATTACTGTCTGTCTTCTTCCACAAGAATGTCAGGGACACGAGAGGGGGGACGTTTTGGTTTCGTTCAGTGCTGATTTTCCTAAAAGAATGCCTGGCACATTGTAGGCCCTCAGTAAATACACAGAGACTGAATGAAGATGGAGCTGTTGCAGGTGTAAGCCAACACTCTGACTAGGATTGCGGTTCTGTCCTTTCAATTCTTCCTGAGGGGTCTGGCCCTCCAGAGGACAGATAGACCAGCAGGTAGAAGGGGTGGGTTAATGTAGAACTAAGACCAGAGGGTCCTGCTCCCATATGAGGAGTCCACACAGTCCAATGAAAATGGGGGCTTTGGAATCAGACCAAGCTGAGTTAGAGTCTTGACTGCCAGGCCTCAGTTATCTCATCTGTACAATGGGTTGTTGGCCAAGACCACCTCCCAGCTCCAACACACACAATTCTGTGGGTTTCATCCTCGCCGGGCTGCCCCACCCCTTCCCCTAGCTCCCATGTCCTTCACCTTTGACTCTCTGCTCCCCACCCCACCCTGTCCTCAGGAAACTGGCCGACTGCGCCCAGCTGCTGGAGGTGGAGGACATGGTGCGGCTGGCGGTGCCTGACTCCAAGTGCGTCTACACCTACATCCAGGAGCTGTACCGCAGCCTCGTGCAGAAGGGACTGGTGAAGACCAAGAAGAAATGAGGAGGGACCGACCCTGTGGGCAGAGGTGGGCAGGGTGCCCAGCCGACCAGCCGTGGCCAGAGGCTCACTTCCTCCATTCCACGGAGGCAGCAGAGCCAGGCTTGGGCAAGGGCAGTGGCACCAGTCTTAACTGCATTAAAAGTACTTTTGTAAAATCCTGTCTGGGCCCTCAGTGCATGCTCCCTGACCCACCCTGGACGCTCTCTCACTCTGGGGTAACAAATCCCAGCCACCATGGTTCCTTACCTGACACGATCTTCTCAACAACCATGAAAGGCATTTGGGAAAGGACGATGGCCTGAGTCCCACCACTAATCAGCTGTGTGACCTTGGGCCAGTGAGTCAACCTCTCTGAGCCTCAGTTTACCATCTGAATGGGGATAATGGGACTTCAAACCTCATGTAGGTGTTGTGAGGGTTAAATGAGACAGTGAAATGGACAACAAGCCTTGCCCAGTGCCTGTCACCTAAGTGTTCAATAAGTGGTGGCCAGAAATAAAAAACAAACCTTACATTTCGAGCCATTGGTGGCATTTTTTCCACTTCTCTTCCCTCTCTCCATACTTTTCCCAGATTAGGGAATTTCAGGGCAGGGGCTGGAGTAGAAGATTCTCTAGAAATCTCACCCAAACTAGGCTAGTGGGGGCCTAGAGTGATTCCTATTTCTTGAAGATACTCCACATTGTGTCTCTGAAAAGCCGGTGGTGTTCCAGCAGCTTAGAACCATTGCACCCAGAAAGTTCTTCCTTCGGGTTAAGTTAATCCCTCCAACTCCGGCTGAAGTTCTGGCTTATTAGAGATGAACCCCTGAGCTGATCATAATTTCCTGCTAACAATCCTGTCTGGTTTTATCAGCCATTTGGAGCATGTGTGCTGCTGAGAACAGCTCATGAAAATCACAAGAACAAAACCCAGCAGGCTTGCCACTGCGGCAGGCGTGGGCTCCGCCCTGATCAGCAGAGGGGACCTGGCAATCCACTGAAATGCTCTGTGCCTCGGTTGCCTCATCTATAAAATGGGTATGTCCACCCCTGTGGACGTGTTGACAGCTCCTCTGGCCAAGGACAGCCTAGCCCCAAATGGCCAGCTTTCCCCACAATGTTTGGGGTTACACGAAGCCCAGTGAGCCATCAGTTCACGGGAAGCAGGGTCACACGTTTTCTTAGATGGCAGCTAAATCCCCAGCCTCACCTCCTCCTGATGAAACCACCCCATCCCCTCCACGAACACTCAGCCAGACTCCATGATGCATCTGTGACTTTAATGCCTGGTCAAGCACATGGTTCCCCTGACTCCCCCTGGAATGGAAGCTGGAGGGGACACTCCTCCCAGCCTGAAGCCTGGCCCCCAGGAACTGGCCACCTAATGGGATTGCAAGTGGTTTAGAAACCACGTCATCAGATTTCCGGGATGGAGATTGGATTCTTCACTTTGTGGAAGAGAAAAGGTTTAGCACCTAAATCTATACACATCTATCAATAGTCTGGCTGATTTCAATTATTCAATCAACAAAGCAGTCGTAAATATGATGCCCTCCATGTGCCCTGCCTCCCACCCCTACACCCTACTTCCCCTCTGCCCCCCTGATGCCTGGGCCTTGGGGGGATTCTGATTGTCTGCTGGGCTCATTTCCCGCAAGCTGGCCTGGAAGGTGACCTGTGTCTCTCAGATGGATCAACTAGTGAGACCAGGATTCCCACGTCAGAGAGCACTGGAGAGCTGGCCTGAAACTCTGCAAACCCTAACTCCCCTGGCTCTGGGGCAGAGAAAGGGAATGGGAAAAGCACACCTGTGGCCAGGTGAACCTGGGAGAGGGTCCACACCACACACATACCCGCGGCCCTTCCCCCACAAACTAATGACTAACAACCTAAGAAGGAAAAAATGGAAAAAATGAGCAGAGAACGGGCCACCAAGGGGCTCTGGCCCCCAGTTCAGGAGGTGTGTCCGTCCATCACACAGAGAGGATCCGAGGCAGAGAGGGGTCAGAACCAGAGTTAGGAGGGCCGGTCCTCTCCAAACTTGAGGGTGAACTCTTCGGCCTCCCTGTTGAACTGCTCCGGGTCCTGTATCAGCAGATCAGCAAGTTTCACCCGGAGGGGCTGGCTCAGGTCTGGTGTATTCACCAGCACACTGAGGGCCTCCAAGACTGGGGAGAGAGCCAGATCAGGACATCAGGATGGAGAGAAAAAAATCCTGGGAAGGAGGCGATGGCTACCCACTCCCAGATCCCCCTGAAACTCCACACTGTCTCCTTGGGGGACCCCAAGGAGGTTCCATCTCTTGGGATGGCTCTACAACCAAACCAAACGCCCCCACATTCTTAGCTGATGATGCCCTGACTGGTTATATCAGTGGTTTTCAAACTATGTCCCAAGGCTCCAGAGAAGCTTCCCATCACGGGGTCGATGAGATAAACGGGGTTTCCTGGTGCCACTCCCTCTCCAACAAGAACAACTTTGTTTTTCTCTGTTTGATATTAGGATTCCAAATAAACTTTTATTTGGGGAAAAGGGTTCTGAGGCTAAGTACCACTGCCCCGTGGCTCTTATCTTTCACAGATGCCTTTGGGAAGCTGGTGAAGGCATGGCCCATCTCTCCAGCAAGTGCACATACGCATACGCACAAGCATGCAGTTCTGAGTTAAGAGCACTTCACGGACCCCCGAAACTCATCCAAGGACCACACCTCCCTTCCCCCGCAGGATCCTTGTTTCCGGGGTTAAGAACTCCTGAGCTGGTCCAGAGGCACACCGATTATGCCCATAGGCTCTAGAGCCTCATTGTCCAATATGGTAGCCACTAGCCACGTGTGGTTATCTAAATTTAAATTAATTAGAATTAACTACAATTAAGAATTCAGTTCCTCAGTCGCTTTGGCCACATTTCAAGTGTGCAATGGCCACACATGGCTACTGACTATGGAATGAGGCAGTGCGGCTACAGAACATTTCCATCACTGCAGAAAGTTCTGCTGGACAGCGCTGCTCTAGGGTCAGCCAAGCCTGGCTTGGAATCCCAGCTCTGCCACTTGCCAGCTGTATGACCTTAGGCAAGTGCTTCACGTCTCATAGGTCTCAGTGTCCTCATCTGTTAAATGGGTCTAATGATAGCACTCCCTCATAGGGATGCTGGAGGATTAAATGAAGCTGGTGCGTGAAGCTCTTCGCACAGTGCTGAAAGGGCTTAATTAAGTGATGTGTATGGTCATGATTAGCCCAAGCCCCTCACTTTTTTTTTTTTTTAAAGATTTTTTTATTTATTTTATTTTTTCCCCCCAAAGCCCCAGCAGATAGTTGCATGTCATAGCTGCACATCCTTCTAGTTGCTGTATGTGGGACTCGGCCTCAGGATGGACGGAGAAGTGGTGCCTCGATGCGCACCCGGGATCCGAACCCGGGCCGCCAGCATTGCAGCGCGCGCACTTAACCACCAAGCCACAGGGCCGGCCCACCCAAGCCCCTCACTTGTCATTTAGGGCATGGAACCCTGGAAAGGAACAGAGACTTCACCAAGGTCCACAGACAGAGCAGTGGGCCTTCTTATCCCAAGCCCTTCCCTCTACAGCCCAGCTGCTTCTCTCTCCCCACTGATCCACAGCAACGTTGCTCTGTCACACCTGCCCAGGTATACCAACAGAGCCAGGAGCAGGACAGCCAGCCCAGGATCTCAGGACACATCCCTTCCATCTGATGTCAGGCTCAGCTGAGACCCACAAATTTTTTTTTTTTTTGGTGAGGAAGATTAGCCCGGAGCTAACATCTGTTGCCAATCCTCCTCTTTTTGCTGAGGAAGATTGACCCTGGGCTAATGTCCGTGCCCATCTTCCTCTACTTTATATGTGGGACTCCTGCCACAGTATGGCTTGACAAGCAGCACGTAGGTCCACGCCCAGGATCCAAACCTGCGAACCCTGGGCTGCCGAAGCGGAATGCATGAACTTAACCACTACACCACCGGGCTGGCCCCTGAGACCCGCAATTTTTATCTCCTCTCTTTGGGGCTTTTCTAACTCGAAATGGTCCTGTAACCCCCATCCAGCGTCGGTCCTCCCCTTTAGGCAAGACCCAGCCCCACCTTGGCAGGTCTTGATGGAAGGCTTCCAGTTCTCATTGCTGATGATGGGCAGGCACACCTGTCCGTCGTAGTCCACGCTGGGGTGGTAGATCTTGGTTGTGAATTTCACCGTGGGGGGCCTGAACGGATACTCCTCGGGGAAGTCGATGCGCAGCTTGAAGGCCTTGAGGTTGTACGGCGGTTTCTCCTGTGCAAGAGAAGGGGTCAAGCTCTGTTCCGAGGCACGGCTGCTCTGAAGAGATTATTTTCCTCCTCGGGCCTTGGTCTGGGTTCCCCTTTCCCCGCCCCTACCCCAAGGTCCCAGGCATCCTCTGCTCCACTCCTAGGAAGAGTGGAGGGGACACAGATGGCACCTGTGTTCATTTGGCAACTGAGCCGTGGATTAGCAGAAGAGTGGAATCCAAAAGAACACTGGCCTGGGAATCACAAAACTTGGATCCTGGCTTTGCTGTGCAACCATGGGCCAGCTGCCTCCCATCTCTAGGCCTCACTTTCCTCACTTGAAAAATGGGTAGGGGCTGGCCCGATGGCGTAGTGGTTGAGTTCCCGTACTCTGCTTCGGAGGCCCAGGTTCGCAGGTTTAGATCCTGGGTGCAGACCTACGTACCGCTCATCAAGCCATGCTGCGGCGGCGGCCCATATACAGAGTAGAGGAAGATGGGCATGGATGTTAGCTCATGGCCAATCTTCCTCACCAAAAAAAAAGAAAAGAAAAGAAAAGAAAAATGGGTAAAGTTTGACTAGATGAGCTCTAAGGACTGTATCAGCTTTAAAGTCTTTCTGAGAATTACAGAAGAGAAGAAGGACAGACATCCTCCCTTTGGGAGCTGCTAGCAAGTACAGGAGAACATCATTACTGGGGGTGAGGAAACAGAGAAAATGAGGCAATCATACGAAGTCAGGGGCTTGGGAAGGTAAAACGGTGCAGCCACTGTGGAAAATGGTACGACAGTTCCTCAAAAAAAAATTAAACAGAGGGGCCAGCCTGGTGGCATAGCGGTAGAGTTTGCTCGCTCTGCTTCAGCAGCCCAGGGTTCGCAGGTTCGGATCCCGGCACGGACCTAAGCACCGCTTATCAAGCCATGCTGTGGCAGCGTCCCATATAAAGTAGAGGAAGATGGGCACGGATGTTAGCCCCGGGTCAATCTTCCTTGGCAAAAAGAAGAGGATTGGCAACAGATGTTAGCTCAGCGCTAATCTTCCTCACAAAAGAAAAACAAAACAGGGCCGCCCCGTGGCTTAGCAGTTAAGTGCGCGCGCTCCGCTGCTGGCGGCCCGGGTTCGGATCCCGGGTGCACACCAACACACCGCTTCTCCGGCCATGCTGAGGCCATGTCCCACATACAGCAACTAGAAGGACGTGCAGCTATGATGTACAACTATCTACAGGGGCTTTGGGGGAAAAAATAAATAAAATTATTTAAAAAATAAAACATAACATTAAACAAAGAATGACCATAGGATCCAGCAATTCCACGTCTGGGTCTATACTCAAAAGAACTGAAAGCAGGGACTCAAACAGGTATTTGCACACCCGTATTCAAAGCAGCATGATTCCCAATAGCAAAAGGTTGAAACAACCCAAACGTCCATCGAGGGATGAATGGATAAATGAAGTGTGGTCTATCCCTACAGCGGGATGTTATTCAACCTGAAAAAGGAAGGAAATTCTGATACACGCCATGACATGGATGAACTTTGAAGACATTATGCTAAGTGAAATAAGCTACACAAAAAAGAACAAGTATTGTATGATTCCACTTCTGTGAGGTACCTAGAATATTGTCCAATTCAGACATAAAATAGGAAAGCAGTCACCAGGTGCTGAGGGGAGGAGGAATGGGGAGTTAGTGCTTAACAGGTACAGAGTTTCAGGATGGGAAAATGAAAAAGATCTGGAGACAGATGGTGGTCATGGTTGCACAACAATGTGAATGCACCTAGTGCCAGTGAACTGTAAACACAAAAGTGGTTAGGATGGTAAATACTGTTATGTATGTTTACCATGATAAAAAAACAAAAATAAAAACTTGGGGCTGGAGTCACCGAGGGCTGCCACTAGAAGACCCTCTAGGCTTTCAGCAACCTGAAGACTTTCCTGGGCACCTATTCTGTGCCGCCCTGTGCTAAGGGTTCAACACACATTAGCCCATGTGGCAGAGTGTAGGGGTTACACAGACTTTGGAGCCACCCTGCCTGAGTGTGACTCTTGGCTCTGCCACTCACTAGCTGTGTGACCTTAGGCAAGTAACTTAACCTCTCTGTGTTTCCATATGGGAATAATAATAGACTTCTTCATAGGGCTTATGTGAGGATTAAATGAGTTAATTTATATTAAGGGCTTAGAACAAGGCCTGGCATGTGGCAAGCACTACGTATGGGTCAGCTATTATGATAGGTATTATGGAAACTCACAACTATGAGCATCTCCATTTTCAGATCAGGAAACTGAAGTTCAGTGTACGTAAGGAATCTGCCCAGGGCCACAGTGGCAGTGGATGGGAACCAGCGCTGTCAATTCTACATCTCCACACATGAGCACTACTCTACACCCCTGGAAGGGAGGAACCCCAGAACTTGGGTGACCCCAACACAGGGCACACAGGCCTTCAGGCCGGTTTGAAAGCTCCAGATCCTTTCAGAACCTTCATTCTTTTTTGTGTGTGTGTGAGGAAGATCAGCCCTGAGCTAACATCTATGTTAATCCTCCTCTTTTTTTTTTTTTTGCTGAGGAAGACCGGCTCTGAGTTAACATCTACTGCCAATTCTCCTCCTTTTTTCCCCAAAGCCCCAGTAGATAGTTGTATGTCATAGCTGCACATCCTTCTAGTTGCTGTATGTGGGACGTGGCCTCAGCAAGGCCGGAGAAGCGATGCGTTGGTGCGCGCTCAGGATCTGAACCCAGGCCACCAGTAGCAGAGCGCATGCACTTAACCACTAAGCCACGGGGCCAGCCCAGAACCTTCATTCTTGAGAAGACAGGACAAAGACAGCTAGAAGGACATATGTATTGAAGTACAGAGTCAAGGTTTTAAGAGAGCTCCTCTTCCTTGGCAAAAGGCAAACAGAAGCCACAGTGGTCATGAGTGTCTCTGAGATAAGAGGATGGGCAGCTAGTGGTCAGATAAGAAAACGTTTCAGCTTTTATGTTCTCAATAACAAGAGGAGGCTGGGACCTGGGAAGCAGAGACAAGGCCAAGGGTGAGGCCTTAGAGAAGGATGGGGAGTGTCTGTGTGTCCTGTCTGCAGGGGTTGCACGCTGGGCTTCCAGGGTCCTAACAGAGGAAGGAGGTGACAGCGTCTGGGGATGAGAGCCCCGGGAACCAGCCCCAGCTCTGCCTCGAGTTTGCTGTGTGGCTTTGAGTGCCTCTAGGACTCAGTTTCCCCATCTGTAAAATGAAGAAGTTGGACCAGACAGAGGGCTTCATACTGCACCATAGGGTCAGCTGAGAAAGTCCTACTTCCTTCTAAGTTCTGGGTTAAATAAAGCATTTTGCTATTCTCCCAGCTGTGCCACCTTATTCTGTGTGAGCTTGGACAAGTCATTTAACCTCCTAGGCCTCCATTTCCTCAACTGTAGAAAGATGATGACCTTCCTTGTGGGGTGGTTGAGAGGATTCAATATAACCTCACATGTCATGTACTGAAAATGGTGCTCAGTCCATTGGGAATTCTCAACGAATGTGAACTCTTACTACTAGTTTTATAAGCCTCATCCGGCTGTAGGCTTCCACAACAAAGATGTGACCACCTTGGTAAGCATGTAAATTGAGACTAAGCCTTTGAAGGGCAATTTGTCTGCTGGTCCCACAGACCTTCCCCTGCCCGCCATCCATCCCCTCCTTTATGGCTTCGCCAGACCCCATCAGGCGCCCTTAGCTGGCTCCTCTGCATCAAGCTTTGGTCTCCCGGTCCTGGATTCTTTCCAACTAGCATGGTTTTTCAGGACCCCTGTATGGCTGGAAGGTCTCTGGCTAGTTCCTGGGGACACACCGACCCACCTCAGTCTTGCCCACCATTGAAGTCCTCTGATTTCATAGTAGTCTCTGAAATGTGACCTTCCCAAGGTTTTCCTATCACCCACCTTCTTCCTTCTGACCTGTTTCTCCCCTCTTCATTCCCATCATCTCAGAGCTAGCCTCCTGAGAGATCTCATCAGTCCCTGCATCTCCTTCTAGCATCTTCTTCTCCTGGTCTGTGAGGCCTAGAGCAGGTGTCCTCACTCCAAGCCAGGTACATGGATTGCTTCAACCCAGCAGCCCACAGGACATGACAGAGGTTCAAATGTTGACCTGACTCAAGGGCTTTTCTCCATTTTTCTGGACTACAGGTCAGTTGACAGAGAATATGGCACAACCCAGGCCACTCTGTTGTCAGTAAAAATCCTAAATAATCAAACAAATTGTTTCCTTTATATTCCAAAGAGTTAAGAAAAAGCTGAACTATTTTAATTTTTATCTCCAAGTAACCAAAGGTGTATAGATGAATTTCTCAAAGAAAATATCTTCCGTCACTAGTAATTAGATGACAAAATAAAGATTTTGCCCTCTGACAGTCCTTTGGAATACAGCTTTCAAAGGGAGATTTCATCAAGATGATATCTAATAATAGAGAAAAATCAGAACAGTAGAGACAATTTATCCATGTTGTCATATGGAACAATAATTTTCTGAAATATGATCTTAAAAGAAAACAAACTATATTTTAGATCTAAGGAAGCAAATTCTACCAACTGTGGGAAACAGGAAGTTTATTCCTACCCCTTGACAAAGGTCCAAGAGATCTTTTTTCCTTCTCTTTTTTTTTTTTAATGCTGTTTGCGGAAGCTTCTGTGGTGGACTTGGTGGCTACTGGTTTGAGGAAGGGGTCTCCTACCAAGTCCAAATGTCTTTTAGCCTCTTCATCAGTCTGCCTCGACCTCAGAAGCAAGGATCCAGAGAGAGACCCCCTCTACCATGATAACCTCCAGTAAAGAAAAATGTCTCTAACGCAGGGAAAATTCTTGCCCAGTCCTAACCCTCCCTGCCCAGGCCTCTGGCCTGAGTCACCCCCATCTGAGGCCACAATCCCTGGGGAAACTCACGGGCAGGAGGAGTGCGTGCCACACCAGGATGTCGGCGGCATCGCTGAACAGGTTCTGCAGGTACCGGGGAAGGTTCTTCTGAAGATCCTCCAGCTCCTGCGGGGGGCACAGACAGTGGACAGTGGGCCGTCTCTCCCCTACCTCAGCCTCCTCCCCCGTCCCAGCAGCAAGCTGTCCCAAGTCCCAAAGGGGACACCCTAGGGAGAGAAGCCAACAAAGTCAGAGCCCCCATTTACTGAGTGCTTAGGATTTGTAGACACGGTGCCAAGTGCTTTAAGTGAATTATCCGATGTTAGCCTCACCCCAGCTCTGTACGTAGCAGGTGGAGGGAAGATGCAGATCCCTGATCCAGATTTTACAACTTGGGAGTAAATTCTCTTAGGAGCCTTTTCTCCTGAAACTGCGGTACTTAACCTCCATCCTCTTGTCCTCACCCTAGGAGTCACAAGTTCCTAATTCCCTCTCTCCCTTCCTTCCGTAGCCTCCACTGAGTATCCAGCATGACATGTCCTTACAGTGCTCAAAGCAGAGTGGGCAGCAAAGACATCACCCCATCCCTGTCAATCTCCTCCAGACCAGGGCTGGGGTAGGGAAATGACTCAGGCAGCCCATGGCAGAGGAGAACTCCGCAGAGAAACAAGGGGACAAGGAGTGACTCGCCTTCCCAGAAATGTGGCCTAGTCACCTGGACATCACTGAATTCTCCCAACAGCCCTTTCCTGAGTATCCTCTGTTGACACTTGACTAAGACAGGGCCCAACTCTCCAGAACTTCATTGGAGTAATGGAAGCAACATGAATGTGATTATGTGAATAATGTGGGGATACATAACAGGGAAGGAGAGGAGAGGGGAGCAGGAAGGCTTTGCAGAGGGTGACACTGTGAGCTGAGCTATGCAGAATAAATAGGAGCCCATGGTGCAGAGAAGGGAAGAGGTACCAAGGCATAGGCCCAGTTAGAGTAAATGTGTACAGTGTGTCCCATGCAAGATTAATAATTATTACAGAAAAAGGGTTCCACAGTCAAGTACATCGGGAAACACTAAGCTAAACGGATTTCTTTACTGCAGGACTTCACAAAGCCTTTAGTATACTGTTGTGTATCATGAACCTCCAAGATGTGAGCCCACAGCATGCAGTACTTCTCAAATGTATTTGACCAAGGAACCCCCCTCCCCCTTTTGGGGTCCATCCTGTGGGGCAACAGACCATTTTTTTTGGAAAAGACCAATAACAGATAAAAAGACACTCAAGGGCAGGTCTTATTCCTCTGGAACACCAGATGAGTGTAAACCAGTGGTTCTCAATCAGGGGTTATTTTACCCCCACTCTCAGGGCATTTGGCAATATCTAGAACCATTTTGGGTTGTAACAAATGGGGGAAGTGCTACTAGTCTCTGGTAGGTAGAGGCCAGAGAGGCTGACAAACATCCTACAAAAAATTATCTGGCCCAAAACGTCAATAGCGACAAGGTTGAGAAACCCTAGTGCAAACAAAGGCAGAGAGAGAGCTCCAGCCCACAGCTGGAGAGGAGTCCTTTAACACTGTGTCCTGTCAGACCTTTATCTGCCCCCCAACATAGAAACACATGCCTGTCCCCCATTTCCTATCCCTCAGCCCATACTCCATCTCTGTTCATACAAAAAACTGCTTCTTGCACCTTCTGCCCAGAGTGTCTGACCTCTCATTTATCTTTTACCCCACACTAGAAGTATCTGCTACCATAAGTCATAGTTCTAGCATCATCTGTGACTCTTTGGCAAGAAGGAAGCCCCAGGTTGAACAGAGAGGCTCTGGAATGCACATTTTCCCGACTTCACTATAACTAGGAACACTTGGACTTTATCTGTTATGGATGAGTTCTGCCAAAACCTTCCCCAAGCCTGATGATGTTGAAACCCGAGCTAGGGGACACGGCTCTTTCCTGTGGCCTGTTAGGAAATCATCTGACTCAAGAGAACAGAAAATGAAAGTACAGTGCTCACTGAAAGAAACTGCAGGTGGGAGCCCCAAGCACCTGGGCTCAAATCCCAGCCCCATCACTCCCAACTGGGTGACCCTGGACAAGCAAGTTATTCTCTCTGAGCCTCCACTTCCTCATCTGTAAAATGGGCATACATGACTTATCTCACAGAGTTGCTGAGAGAATTCGATGAAATAACTAATGTAAATTGCCTGGCACTTAATGGTGCCAATGCAACAAATACTGGCTCCCAGCTCCTTCCCACTTGGCTGGAAAGACTCTCTGCCCCATTTTGCTGCCAACCTTCAGATTTCAGTTCTTCTGAGCTGAGCCTGCTCTGGGTGCCCCAATCCGAGATCATCTTCTTCTCAGAGGCTGAGGGTAGCAGGCCCTCCTTCACCCCCTTCAGGCCTGCCCCCAACTCCGTACATTGAAGGGGCACTTCTGAGAGACTCAAAGCCCGGGAGGTGTCAGACCCACTTCACCAGGATTGTCCTCCCTTCCCGGTCTATCTTCATCTCCTGGCTGCACCCCAGCCCTCCAAACACCCTGGGTTTTCCCTGCTCTTGGGGGAAATCGCCCCCTCCCCATCCTTCCAGACCTCATTTCAAATTGTGTCCCTGATTGGAATGAACTCACCGAGGGCAGGATTTTTGTTCGTCTCTGCCTCCCTAAATCCTAGAACAGGAGCCAGCACACAGTAGGCATTCGACAACATTTGCAGAACGAATGAATGCATGCCACCTACTCCAGGACAGCTCCAGGACCGCCTTGGCATCTCTTCCTACCGAGAATACCCAGGGAATCTTGCTCCCGACTCCTACTCAGTATCCCATACTTCTCGGGACGCTGATGTGGGTACCAAATCATGGGGCGGGGCGTGCGCTACTCCAGGGCAAGGACCTTTTCCTGGTTATCTCTGTTCACAACCCACCCACCACTACCCCCAGCAGAGCGCCTGGCTCCAAGAAGACGCCAAGGAACCCTTCCCGCACCTGAGACGCACGCAATTGTTACCACAAGTTTCTGGCAGGAGAAATGAAACTGAAACCAGTTTGGGGGGAGCTGGCTCATCCCCATTCCCAGCACAGCTCAGGGCGCCAGCGACACCCTCGCCTGATGTGTCCTCACCCCTCAAAACTCCAGCTCTCGCAGACCCACTCCTCTGGGGAGGGGGCGGGGATGACAGAGATTCAGCCAGCCCTGGTACCCAGATAAACGCGCTCAGAGAGCGGAGAGCCGGGGGAGGGATGGAGGGAGGAGGGAATGGGAGAGCGAGGGGAGCCAAGAGAAAGGGGGCATCCTACATGCAGTTACCTTCGCCACCCGCTTGCTCGCTGACATCTCGGGACCGAATGTGGGGCTTCGCGGACTTGAGCCAGACTGTGCCCCGACCGGCGGACTCGGCGCGCCCCGCCCGGTGGACCCCGCCCCCGAGAGCCCCGCCCACGCCCCGCTCCCCCAGCGCGTACGCGGGAGCCCGACAGTCCTGCCCCCCACCGCCTCTGCTGGGACTAGGGGCCGCCGAGGGGAGGATCCGCCTGCGCCCCGGCCTGGGCCCCGGCGCGGTGGGCTCCGATCCCCGGAACTTGCGCTCTTTGTCGGGAGCCGACGCGGGCCCGGGAGCCCGCGGCGGTGCCAGATCCCTGCGTCCCGCTGGGGGGCGCCGCGCACCAGGTAGCAAGCGCTCGCGGCGCGGGGCCGGGGTCCGCCCATCCGGGTTCTAGTTCCAGCTCCGCCGCCGGAGGCCCCCCATCTCCATCAGCTTTCCCACAGCGCCCCAAATATACACTCTCCCTAAATGAATAAAAAACTCTTGGTATGCAAATACAGCTCCATCAGACCGCCGCCCTAAGCCCCCTCAACGAATTCCTGGAGCCCCCTGGACAAATCACTTTCCCTCTCTGGGCCCAGTGCTCCATCTCTAAAAATGGATGGGGGCCACGGTAGACTATGTCCCCTCCAAGGACCCCTCCCCTGGCAGCTTGGGATCCTTTGTGCTGTCCAGCATTCGGTGGTGAGACTGCAAGGACCTTTCTCCCAGGTGGCTGCTTGGTGCAGAGCCCCGCAAGGGGGCGCTGTTGGGCCCAGTCTCTCTTGCTTTGAGGATTCGGTCGACCCTTCATTTAGTCCCTGGTTAAGCTTAGCATTTAGTAAGTGCCTACTATATGACGATTTGGGAAACAGTTGAGTGGGGGCAGCCCCGAGAGAGACTTCAGGAGCTTCCCTTATTTTACCACTGGGCCATTACAAACTGCGGGTCTACTGTGTGCCCCGCACACATAGGCAGGAATTTCCACCCCTCTCTCCAGGGGCAGAGACCCCTTCCCCCAGCCCAAAGCTGAGGCCACCGTGGAATTGCAGCTCCTGAACACGGAGCAGCGTCTGGGGAAGAATCTCCTAGTAAAAATGAGTCTCCTTGGGAGGATTGAACCCATCTTCCTCACCCTACTCCTTTCAGTCCAAATGAGAAAAGAAACCAGCGTATTTTGAGCACGTTTTGAGTTCTGAACTCACTACTTCATGTAGTTTTTATCTAAGTGTCTTGGAACCAAATGACTTCTCTGCTCAGATGTGGGATGTATTTGCAGAATGATTAATTCTGTTTAATTCAATCCTATAAACTTTAACCGGGCATCTTCTACATGCCAGAAATGAATAAGCCACTGTCCCCAATCCCATAACATAGGTAGAGATGAGGGAATGAGGCCATCTGAACCATCTCAGTTAACCAGCATCTACTACTGAGTGCCAGACACTGACTTTAGGGAACACTGCGATGAGAAAGTGGGGTCCCTGCCCTTGATGAGCTCTCCTACTGGTGCGACAGTGGGAAAGAATGCAGCCCTTGCGTTTTTAATGCAAAGCAGTAAGCATAAGCCTATCAGGAATCATTTGGTGCTCTGGGAGCCTGAGGAGGGTCAACTTGATCCTGCCTCAGAGAGGGACAGAGGTTTCCTGGAAGAGATAAAAATCTAAGTGAGTTGCAAAGCATGATAACGGGGGCAACCCCGTGGCCTAGTGGTTAAGTTTGGTGCACTCTACTTCGGTGGCCCAGGTTCACAGGTTCAGATCCTGGGTGTGGACCTACACCACTCGTCAGCTGTGCTGTGGCGGTGACCTATATATGAAATAGAAGAAGACTGGCACAGATGTTAGCTCAGGGTGAATCTCCCTCAAGCAAAAAGAGGAAGATTGGTGTTCAACATCATTAATCAGCAGGGAAATGCAAATCAAAACAACACTAAGATATCACCTCACGCCCGTTAGAATGGCTATAATCACCAAGACAAAAAACAACAAATGTTGGAGAGGATGTGGAGTAACAGGAACCCTCACACACAGCTGGTAGGAGTGCAAACTGGTGCAGCCTCTATGGAAAACGGTATGGAAATTCCTCAAAGAATTAAAAATAGAGATGCCCTATGATCCAGCTATCCCACTACTGGGTATCTATCCAACGAAGCTGAAATCAATAATCCAAAGAGGCTTATGCACCCCTATGTTCATTGCAGCATTATTCACTATAGCCAAGAAGTGGAAGCAACCTAAGTGTCCCTCGACTGACAATTGGATCAAGAAGATGTGGTATATATATACAATGGAATACTACTCAGCCATAAAAAAAGACAAAATCGTCTCATTTGCAACAACGTGGACGGGCCTGGAGGGTATTATGTTAAGTGAAGGAAGCCAGAAAGAGAAAGACAAACACTGTATGATCTCACTCATGTGTGGAATATAAACCAACACATGGACAGAGAAAACTGTATTGTGGTTACCAGGTGCAATGGGGGTGGGGGGTGGGCACAAGGGGTGAAGGGAGACATGTATATGGTGAAGGACAAACAAAAATGTGCAACCCAAAATTTCACAATGTTAAAAACTATTAAAACATCAAAAAAGGGCCGGCCCTGTGGCTTGGTGGTTAAGTGCGCGCGCTGCGATGCTGGTGGCCCGGGTTCGGATCCCGGGTGCGCATCGAGGCACCACTTCTCCGTTCATCCTGAGGCAGAGTCCCACATACAGCAACTAGAAGGATGTGCAGCTACGACATACAACTATCCACTGGGGCTTTGGGGGGAAAAAAAAAAATAAATAAAATCTTTAAAAAAAAAAAAAAAATCAAAAAAAAAAAAAGAGGAAGATTGGCAATGGATGTTAGCTCAGGGCTAATCTTCCTCACAAAAAGAAAAAGAAAAAAAAAAAGAATATGGGGTGAGGGTGTTCCAAGAAGAGGGAACAGCATGAGCAAAAGTGAGGTGGCAGTGTATACGGAAACTGAAAGTGGTTCTACAGTGTGGAGCAAAGCCTGTCCACTGCTCTGTGGTTCTCCTTCCTTTCCCTTCGGAAACTCTGCATCCCTGAAGTGAATCCAGAGTCCTGGATTTAGCCCAGCCTCCCCATCCTGGGATGGATCCTAAACTCTCACACAGCTGGGAGGCCTGCATGCGCGGCCTCCATGTCCTTCCACAATGCAGACCTTTGTGTGTCAGAAGGAGACCCGGATTCTAGTTCCACATCTGCCCCCCAGTGCAGCATGGCCTTGGGTGGGCCGTAGAAGCTTCTACCTGCTTCCCAGGACCCCTGTGAGGCTAAGCTCACAGAAGTGGAGGAACTTTGAAATCTGTAAATCCAAGAAATAAATACTCAGGATTAAATCCCAGTTCCACTATTATTGGCTGAATAAACTTGGGCAAATTACTTAACTTGTCTGTGCCTCTGTTTTGTCATCTGTAAAATGGGGCTAATAATAGTGGATGTGAGGAGTAATGAATTGCTATTTGCACAATAAGTGATAGTTATAATAATAATAAATACTAAAATGATGGCAGGTGCCCGTCCAGGATCGAATGTGCTGGCTTGGAGGGAGAGATTACTGAGTTTGCTCCCTTAGAGCAATGGCAACACTATCTTCCTCAATAGAACTCTTTAATTCTCTCTGATCTAGTCATTGGTGTTTATTCATCCATTTCATCCATTCCAAAAATGTACTGAGCACTTACTTATGCAAGGCCCTGTGTTGAGCACTCTGGGGGCCCCGGGAAGGGCTGAGGCCAACTCTGTGTCTTTACCATTAAGTAGGAGAGATATTCATCTGTAAGTATAACAAAAGATTGGAGGAGAGAGGCCTCTAAGTTACTTATATGTGGAATCTAAAAAAAAAAAAAAACCCAAAAAACAAAAAAAATAACAAACTCATAGATACAGAAAACAGATTGGTTGTTGCCAGAGGCAGGGGATGAGGAGTAGGTGAAATGAGTGAAGGGGGTCAAAAAGTACAAACTTCTAGTTATAAAATAAATAAGTCCTGGGGGTATAATGAACCACATGGTGACTATAGTTAACAATACTGTATTGGATGTTTGAAAGTTGCTAAGAGAGTAGATTTTAAAAGTTCTCCTTATAAGAAAAAAAAATTGTAACAATGTATGGTGACAGATGTTAACTAGACTTACGGTGATGAGCATTTTGCAATATATACAAATATCAAATAATTATGTTGTACACCTGAAACTAATATAATGTTGTATGTCAACTGTATCTCAATTAAAATGTTTTTAAAAAATTAAAAGAAGATATACCAAAAATAAGAGGGCTCAAGGCTTGACTTACTGTCTGTTTATTGTGAGCATAAAATGAGATTGTGTATATGAGGGGCACCTTGTAGGTACTAAAGTTACCGCACCTGTTTATAATGCAGAGTTCTGGGTGAGAGTTTCAAATTGTTCAGAAGGCTCCAAGGACCTTTGGAGCGTCTTTGAGTGGGGGACTGGTTTAGGACGGAGCTGTTGTTTTCCTCCAGGCCCTCTCCCTGGGCTTGTTCCTATCTGGGGCTGGGAGGGTTAATCTCAGAATTCCCCTAGCCCTCCCTATCGCCCTGCAGCCCAGAGAAGTTCTCAGGCAACCAAAGGAGAGAATTTCCTGCTTCTTTTGATTGAGGAAGGGACACCCTCTTCCTGTCTGCCTCACATACCTCCTTCTCCTGGGCAAGTCTCACACATACATACACACACACACACACATACACATACATACACGCATATACAAACCTCTCCTCACAGACTACACCCCAATGAAGGTGAGCCCGGCCCTTGTGGGTGAGGTGGAGGGCATGGTTCAGAGGTAGCCATGGAGACAAGGAGCCCCAGGAGAGGAGCGAGGGGGATTCCTGCCACTAGACCAGGAAGATGGCCTAGTGAGTCAAGGAACCAGCTTCCTCAGCCTGGCTCAGCCACTAGCTTACTTGTTCCTTGGGGGACTTTGAACAAGAGAGATAACAGTAATGACAATGACAACAATAATAGCTAATCTGTATTGAATGTGCCAGGCTGTATTAGTCTGCTCGGGTTGCCATAATAATTTTATTTATTTATTTTTTTTATTTTTCCCCCAAAGCCCCAGTAGAT